GGCAGCGTACGGGGACGACGATGGTTCATTAAAATATATATATATATATATATATATGTCTATTATTACGTTAATTATTCATAACACTAATAAAACTGAATAGTTAATAAATAAAACATGAATGCACGCAATTCTAAAATGTTTCCTTTAAGAAAAAAGAATAGAACCGGTTAGATTTTCTTTGTCTTGCTTTTCCTGTCACTGGCTTAACTATAATTATAAATACTCAATATTTAAGTCTCAATAAAGCATAAAAGAAAATTTTTCTCATCGTTTTTTTTTTTCATGTAAATGACTACTCAAGGTGTTATTATTATTCGTAATAATTCGTTTCTGTAGGACTATCACGCCATTGGTAACACGAAACCCATCATTGACAAAAAACAAGATTGGAATCTATTACGTTTTTATGAGAATGGTACTCATACTATGTTACGTTTTCAAAGAAAATTGGATACCTGCGACGATAAAGATCTACCCATCCCGGTAAAAATTTCTCTTCTTAATTAAAGTTTTTATTACTATAATTTTCATCGCGCCGTTTTTAAATAGGAGCAAACAGCACGAATCATCTATGCTTTTCACGAACAAGATCCCGATTCCGTTGATGAAATAATGTATCACGGTAGCAGAAATCGCGGAACTAAAAGTGTTTTACTATTAAAACCTCAGCAGAGTGATGATATAAAGCTTACGGATGATGTTCTTTCTTGGGATGTATTAACTCCGAACGTAAGATTTTTTTATTAAATTAATTGCATCATAAAAATCGAAAAAACTCGTACAGATTTAATCGTTATATGCAGGCAACTATCCCTGGGGATGTTGATACTATGTATTTCTGTTCGATTCATAAAGTACCTCCGTTAGATACGAAGCACCATATTATAAGAGTGAGTAGTAGTTTAATAAAAATGTTTTCCAATAGATATACAAATATTTAAGTTGATTCTTTTGCAGTCACAACCGATAATTCAACCTGGTAACGAACCTTACGTCCACCATCTGGTCCTTAATCTTTGTACAGTTGTTATTGAAAGCGAAATGGACAATCTATTGAATCAATATTATCCTTGTTATGAAAATTCTTGGATTAGACAATTCCAAAACTGTAATATAATCGTTTCTGCGTGGGGTGTAGGGGGAGAGGTAAATCATTTAACTCAACTGATTCTTTTTTTCGTAATGTAAAATAAACTTTATATTTATTAGGGAAACCTCTACCCAGATCATGTTGGAGTTCCGTTATATGGAAATTCGTATTATGTTCTCGAGATACATTACGACAATCCGAGCCTTACGAAAGGTAAGCATATGTTTAAGTCATTGTCTGAATAACTTGAACTCAGTGGCACGTTATAGCTTCGTGGGACCAGGCAAAATTTGGATTAGCGAGCTCCGTGCACTGTATAATGTTGACATTTTTCTTCAGTGGATTTTTTTGGGGAAAGATATTTTCTTACAAAACACTGATTGGAGGCTCCCTATTGTTGGGGACTCCAGACAATTGCCCTGTTTGCCCATTGAACTGTATAAAGCGCCGATTAAATATCAAACTAAAAACTAAAAAACAAATAACACTGTTTTAGTGTTATTTGTTTTTTTCTATCAGATTTGATATTTCGAAATCATTACCGTCTATAAACCACGTAAACAAAATTGTTGTAATGTTCTATCTTGTCGGAAAAAGTCTTTTATAGATGTGGTATACTGATGAAATCATATTTTCTATGGATTAAATAGCTTGATAATAAATCAAAATTAAACTATTTTTCAACTGATTACCAATAAAATTTCATTTTCTTAAGGTATTGTCGATAGTTCGGGACTAAGATTGTATTACACACCCAAATTACGAACTTACGATGCTGGAATACTATCGGTTGGTTCCATTTGGTATCCATGTGTTTTAATCCCTCCAAAGCAGAAGAAATTTATTGTTGCTGGTCATGGAGATCCAAAATGTTATGGTTCTGTAAGTGGCTTCATTCAATAAAATCTTTCTTAGTTTTATACTTAATCTTTTCGATTAAAAAACAAATCTAAGCATTTCTAATGTTAAGAATTTTAAGTACCACATGAAAATATTGAAAAATTTTCTGATTGTCTTTATTTTCAGAGTATTCCACCTGAAGGAATTTATGTATTATCGGTTTTTCTTCATTCACATTTATTAGGTGAATAATAAATCATGTCGATGGCCTATTAATCTTAGATTAATCACATTAACACATCTTTTAAATAATTACAGGAACACATTTAACTCTGCGGCATTTTCGGAATGGAAAAGAATTAAAGCCCATAGCTGAAGACAAGTATTACGATTTTAATTATCAGGTTGGCTAAATCCTTTTTTTGGTTATTAAACTTAAGAAGTCATTAATATAACTCAATCATTTGCCTTGTATTTTTATAAACAGGATGGGACCGTCCTATCCAAAGAGGTCAAAATTCTACCAGTAAGAAAAATTTTCTAGCTTTTTAGTCAATTTTTTTTTAAAAAATCTTGATAGTTAAATTTTTTTTATTATTGTAATTATTAGTCTGATCATTTAACGGTGGAATGTGTTTACGACTCTACAGATCGAGTTTCTAACACTTTGGTATGTTGTGTTTATTTCTTTCTTTCGGATAATAAAAAAAAAGGTAATAATAATAATAATAATAACAAAATAAAATAAATGGCTTGTTTTATTTTTAGGGTGGTTTAGGAACGCAGCAAGAAATGTGTTTAGCATTTATATTATATTATCCACGAATTGCTGTTGCTGCTAGTTTATCTGGACCTAGTTGCAATCTCGCACTTGGCTTAGCGGGAGTTTCTATTGTAGCCCCGTAAGTTTAGCATTCGTTGATTGGCTATCGTGAAATTTAAATTTAAATTTAAGCGACTCTGATTGGTCTTCGTTATAATTTTAAATTTAAACGCTCCAATTACTAAATAATTAAAATTTCAAATGTTTACACGTAGATAAATTGTAATTTGTATTTAAAAATTAAATATTCTTATCGGTTAAAACATTTTATTTATTTATTTATTTATTATTTTTAAATTCTAATTGGTTAATATTTGTATCATTTTCGTCAGTTTTATATTAACATAAAATTTATATTTGATGATTTTTAATTAAATTTTATTCATATAGGACTGGTGAATGGCTGATTTCTCCTACAACGGGTAAAAACGAATCGACTATTGAATATTTATCAACATATTTATGGAAGGAGAATCAGATAGATGCTGTACAATCCGCAACGAGATATGGCGATCATATTGGAATTTGTGCTCTTGAAAAGGGGCAATTTTTTCAGGTAAATATGGAAAGAATACAATACATTTATACATATATAACTAGATGAAAATATGTTTATTATTACAGGTCAGTCCTATTAATTATCCAGATATTAAAGAATCATATCAACCAATAGATAATTGCAAAGCAAAGAAAAAACCCGAATTTCATTTTGTAAACCCATTTGTATGGTGGTCAAATCCTCACATTTATGTATATTAATTTTTTTTTAGAGTTATTGAAAAAAATAAAATGGGGTTTTATGTGGAATATAGAAACAGATACTAACAAAGATATAACATAATCGAAACACTGTTTTATGTAAAACATATGAAGTGCTATGGTGTATGGAAATATTTATATCTACTGTATTTTTAATTATAAGAGAATAAAATATAATTCTTTGTTAATTTTATTGACGATTTCTTTGCATTTTCTTCCTTATCTCTCATTTTTTAAATAAATTTTTTCATCAGTTTATGCTCTATATTTATTAGATAAATATTTAATCGAATTAGACAATTATTTATTTTGTTGGTATTAAATATTTGATAATCAAATGTAAATTTAACGAACATTTAGTGAAGCGCCATCTGTTATCGTTATTTAAAGTAAATTATTATTAATAAATTTAATGAAATATTTATTTTTCATAAAATAAAATATTAGATTCGTAACTTATGTTAATTGTATTATAATTTTTTTTAAATTTTAATTTAATAAATAAATATATTTTATAATTGATTGCTTTAAAAAAAAATGTTATAAATTTCTTACTGCCATCTGGTGCTATTGTTATAAGTTGTATTTTTTTTTTTTTTTTTGATGGAACTTGTTCTTGAAGAAGTTATACAAGTTTCCAAAATTAAATTTTCAAAAGTATACCTTTTTTAACTTTTTAAAATTAATTTTATTATATTTCAAAAATATTCTATTTTAAGTTCAAAATGAGGTTGTATACATGAAAGTTAAAACAGAAAACTATAATTATTGAGGAGAATTTAAAAATAAATATTAAAATGCAATATATTCAAAAACAATAAAATTTAGACTAAATAATAACAAATTTTAAGCTTAATTTAATTAACTGTAATTAATCCAATCACGTCCAAATTCGAATTTTAATTACTAAATTATAACCAATCAACTTATTCAAATTCAAATTACAATATTCAAAATTTAAATTATAACCAATCATCGTCATCGTTTTATTATTTAATAACTCAAATTATAATCAATCATCTTCTCTAGTTTATAACTTATCATTCAAATTATAGCCAATCATCTTCGTCAAATTATTATTTAAAATTCAAATTATAACCAATCATCAACGCCAATTTAAAGGTTTAAAATTCAAATTATAGCCAATAATCTCCGTCAAGTTCAAAAAACACGGTTATTCTTATTTATTTATTTATAATGTTATTTTTAAATAAAATCTCCAAATTTTTTTCCTGCACATAAATATTGTGCATAGCAGTCAAAGTACCAGTCTACTGCTCTGGATACCACAGATCGAATCCGGAAGATGATGGTCTCAGGATGGTCAGTCTCAGATATGTCGGGCCCCCGTCCAGCCGTCCCCATAATGGATCTGGCCAAACCCTCAATGAGCTTGAAAAAGTTCTCTTAACTCTGCTCTATGGGGAAGATTTACTGAAACAAATCGAATGAAAATAAGAGTTGTACTACAAAAGAATACGAAAAAGGCTAAATCCAACGACTTTAATCTGGACTTTCTTATCTTGAGAAAATCCAGAAAATGAAAGAGCGATAATTTGTTTTACATTGATTAAATTCGATATATTATATGAGCAAAAGTACGATTTATAAAACAGGGTTGAAAGGATTCAAACAATTAAATCTGAAACTATTTAAGTGATTATAGATTTAAGTGTTTTAACTTTAAACCTATAGCTTCTGCTATTGAATTATTATTTCAGAAAATATCTGAAATACGATTCATTAAAAAACATACCTGGAGATGTTATATTCATTATAACTCTTTTCTAAAACGCTTATAGAAACACACACAAAAAAGATCACGACTTCAAGCCGACAGAGTTACGAGCTCAGAATCTACATATTCGGACGTGCGAAACCGCAGATACACCTATTTGAAAGGCTTTTTTTTTTCCAAAAAAAAATGCTGAAGAATGTTTTTAGATATAACTTTACATTTAAAAGAAACGCTAAGACAAAATTATTTTTTTTTAAATTTTATCACGTTTCGTGCCATTGTCCGACGGTAAATTGCTGGGGATTTTCGGCCCGACCAGATTCGTTCCCGGTTCTCCCAGAGCGGTAGGATGACAGCTTAGCCATTCGGCCATTCGGTCTAGATAGAATCAGGTATGAAGACATACAGGCACTCTATATTATCCTACAACATTAAGCAAGTTCGTAATTGATAACAAATAAAGACGTGTTCCGTTACTCATAATTTGTTTCTACGTTAGTGTCAACAAATATCATCAAATCTTAAAATTAATTTTAATTGCATTAAGTTTTTCAATTGATATTGATTTTTAAAATTCGAAATTTAAACTAATTATAGAAATTCGTCATTCTCACAAAACAGCATAATCTTATAAATGAAGCGTGCAATGCCATTACAGCTTATATTTACATCATTTTGATATTCCAGAGAATTTGTAACCCTGTGAGTTTTTTACCATTTTATTGTAAAATTTATATGAATTTATTCACTAGTGAAATTGTTTTTATCTCCCCTGAAATGTTTGTTTTTTGGCATTAACAACATTATGGCATGGCACACTTCAAATTACGTGATCTCATAAAAACAGACCTAGATGGAAAAGACACAAGATGGCAAGTTGGCGCAGAACAGTAACTAAGAAAATTTACAAGTGCACTTTTTGAAAATAAAAAAACAATCTAGTATGAAAGTGATTGAAAATTCAGTTTGACTGGCATGCCATCTCATCTTTCTGAGGCCCTGCATAGAAACTTTACACTTTACTGTTGCTGAAAGTAAACATTTTTATCATAAATTTTACGATAAAAAATTAATACAGCATTTTTCTAAAGACCTTTTGACGGGAAGTTTATCTTACAATATATTTATATATTGTATGTTCCAAATACAGTACAGTATATGTATGAAATTTCAGGAGCTAATTCTTCGAATATTTTCAACCAGAAGAGTTTATATGAAAATATGATCAAAACAAAATGTTTAATCTATGGCCCTATCGAAAATGTTGACGAATTACAGAATCGTAGTGTCACATCTTGTGAAATAATTGGACACGCGCCAATGTGGCGGAGAATAGAATCCTGTATTACAATTGGCGGTGGTCATTTTCAACAGGGTGAGCCCTCCTGGCACTCATAGAAAGGAAATACTTATGAAATAAATTTATATTATTAAATATTTTTTATAAAGCAAAGTAGAATTTTGAGTAGAAGAGTGTTTTTAATTAACTACTATAAAATTTTATTCAACTGAAACATATTTTGTACAAATCAGTTGGAATGAATATAGTATTCTTGTTTACATTATATTTTAAAATAACATTTATATATCAATATTACTTTCATTTTTCAGTTTGAATTTAATTTGCACGTATTCTATCTGTTGCTGTTCATTGTCTATTTTTAATTAGGAAAGAAATTGTTTTTACACATGAATCAGTGAAAAGGAATGCAGATTTTTAATAATCGTGTAGTTAATAAAATCCTACAGACAATTTATGAAAACAAACCTAATTGTTGCATAGCAATATGTTTGTCTAGAATTTAATTTCTAGTACATAAATAATGGCTCCAGAATTCATTTAAAACTGGTGGTTTTCATAATCAGTAACTCAAGTTTGATCATCATTTTATTAAATTAATATTCCATGCATGATTTTTAAAAATATATACATGATTTTGACTTCAAAATGTAGTAGTGTGCTAAAATTGTAAACATAAAACAGTATATTAGTCTTCTTATTTAAAAAATGTACAGATTTTCAATAAATTAAATGCAATGCATTCAAATGTTGAGATTAAGAAAGTATTTTGAATGACTGGATGGATGAGTCTGTAAAAATAAATCTGTTATTATTCTGAAGATCTGAATTTGAATCTGGAGTGCTTAGTCTCAAGTTATGAGTAGCAACACAAACATATTGAGAGAGTCATGTGCAGGGCCGGATCATCACATAGACAAATGTCTAGGGCCTGGTCAAACTGTCTATTTTGAAAAGATTTGTAAATAAAATAGTTTACTTTTCTGTTGGACAACTGTATATAATACACAAATAAACAAAATTATTTTGCTTTTTATATGGTTATTGTGAATTCTAAAATCTAAAGAAAATGTGTTCTTATGTTTCTTCTTGTGGGAAAGGGAGGGGCCCGGTAAGATTAAAATGTCTAGGGCCCCAAAGTGGGTTAATCTGGCCCTGGTCATGTGGTAACAACCCATTCAATCAGACATTCTCTGAATGAGTTGGTATCACATGACAATCCAACACATTTGTGTTTTTACAACTTGAGACTGGACACCTAGAATGGCTAAGAAATTTTAATGTAAGAGTTGACTTGGATCCCATTTCTCATCTGGTTGCCACATTATGGGCCTGATTGAACCCATGAGGAATATGAAAGCTTTTATAATCACCATGTTAAAAAAATTGTTGATTTGAAATATTTTTATAACAGTATGTTATAGCTATAGTCACATTGCAAAGCAATACTTTAAGTAAATAATAATAATATAATTAAATATGTATTTATTGATACAATATACATATTTATAGACTGCATTAGTAATAGTGGGATCCTTAGAATCATGGGACCCTACATGACATGATGGGATAGTTCTTGCATAAAAGGAATTAGCTGTTTCTTCAGGGATAATGTTGCAATATTAACTTTATCTGAAATAAGATTACAAATTTATTTTGTAGTATACAATAAAAGCACATATACACATATCCATAGAGAATTTTCATGGTTCTTTCAAAAGATTGATTCTGGATTTTCCAATTGTTTTCCATTCTTAAGCATGATGTTTATTAATTAATGTACCGTGCTTACAATGCACATTGTTAATTTTTCTAAACTAAAATAAATTTTAGAAAGTATTCAAAAGAATTGGAATCGGGAGAAATTTAGGTATTGTCCCATCACTAATATTAATTAATATACATAGAAAAGTCAAAAAGTTCTTTATTTTGAATGTAAACAGTTTACAGTGTTTAAACACAATACCAGTAGATAGGTAAATATTCATTCTGCTTTTTAATAGTCACCTTTTCATTTGAGATAGTTATGATAGATCAAGGAGTTACTTGAATCATAAGTTAATTTAACTCCATCTTGATAGAAAGATAAGTTATGCAGATGGCTAATGTTTGACTTCTTGAATGTCTTCAGACTAGAAGCATAAGCATCAAAGGTGTTTCTCTAGGGAACAGGTAAAAATGGTATCAAATCAAGACTGTATGAGAATCAGAATTTCCCGGTACCAAACATTCAACGGATTCAGCGTTACTGGTGAAACATCATAATGAAACTTAGAACTTCATTTGATAATGTAAACATTTAAGAAATACAATGCATCCAATCAGATATGCAAAACAAAAATTAAAGAACAGACTTTTTGACTTTCCTATATATAACATTATTTTGAAATTTAAACTTAAATTTAATGAATCTGACAAAAATTTAAATATTTTAATTTTAAAATATATTCAATTAAATACAATAGATATAGCTACATTCATATTTAAAATTGATTTGATTTTAAAATTATATTAAAAATTTTGACAGAATGATCATGACTACAACTTGCAAGTTTAAAAGTATTTTCAGATTCTAATTTTGGAGAAAATTTTAATTTGCTGACAGTTTTATGATGAGCAATATCACAATCTAATTTTGCACATAAATGCCAATCACTTAACTCCTTTGTTGATTTTTTCCAAAAATACAGTAATATTTCACCCTTTTCAAGACCTATTGCAATAAGATAGGCTTTAGATGGTGTGACAAATGGGGCAAAATCAATTGCAGTAACAGAATCATCTGCTTTAAATGGAATAGAACATGGTTGCCATTTACCAGTGACAGTGACTTCATTTATATTTTCATCATATTCCCAAATTACTATGGATTTATCTCTGGAAGCTGTGACAAAATATTTACCATCATGGGACCAAGAACAAGCCCAAATAATACGAGTATGTATTCCAGTTATCTTATTTGTATAAGCAACTCTCTCATACATATTCTGGTTAGAAATTTTCTTAAACAAAGTCCAACTACGATCTCTAGATACAGAAAGAATGTAATTATCATCTGGAGAAAATGCAATTTGTGTCACAGTTAAATTATGAGAATGCAAAGAAGTGATCTGTTTCCATGTTTTCACATCCCAAAGAATAATTTTTGCATGATCTGCTTTATTTGCTTTACTTGCAGAAGCTATAATTGTGCCTGCACGATTGCAAGCAACAGTATGTATTTCATATCCATGACCATATAATTTTTGTATTTCTGGCCAAAGTGTGTTCTGTAAAAGTATATCTTCTGATGGTGGTTGTTGCATTGTAATTGACGTGTAATAGTGATCAGGATATCGATCTTTTGGATGTTTACTTTCAGATTTAACATCATTTATTAAATCTGATTCAAAAACAGCTTTATTAGAGAGACCTAGAGGTGGAACACTAGCACCTTCAGCATATTCAGAAATTAAATCTAAAGAAATATCTATTTGGCATATTTCTTTTATATTCTTAACAAAGTTTTTTGGAGCTTGAAATACTCTAATTACCTTTTCATCTGCACCTGATACAAATAAAGTTCTATTTATAACCGTTAGACAGTTTATATCATAACCATGAATTTGTGGACGACTTATTTCACACCAAATTCCCTTTTCAGAAGATTCTTGTGGTGCGTGAAGTCTTGTTGTTTGGTCAGCACTACAACTAAGAAGATAGTCACCTTTTGGATCCCATGATATATCTACAACTTCCTTGAAATGACCAGAAATAGTAAAACCAGGTTTCCATACTCCAGATTCTTTATGAAAACTCCATAAATGTAAAGCACCTTGATAACCTTGAGCTAAAATTGATAAGCCATTGGGTGAGAACACTCCACCATAGAAACCAAGAGTATTTCCACCCACTTCTCCAACTCTAATTTTTTCAAGCCAAATTCCAGATATTTCATCAAATTCCCAAAGAATCATAGTTTTATCCATAGATGCTGATAGTAATTTAGCATCAGAAATTGTTTTTGATGGTAGCCAATGTATGCTATATATCCAATCTTCATGACCAGCTGAAACAGATTCTAAATTAACATTATATCTTAATTTTTTTCCATTCCAATCCAAAATAAAAGTATTTTCTTTAAGTTTTAATAAATTGTCATCAGTTTCTTTACAAGTATTCACTGGAGTAATTTTCCATATTCTAATAAAACAATCTTGTGAACAAGAAGCTAACAAAGCATCGCCATTTTCTGTAGTCAGAAAATCCAACCCTCGAATCCAGTCTTCATGTCCTTTGAGTGATAATATATTACTATACATACCAGTTGCATTTTGAAGATAAAGATGTACAACTGTATCATTACCACCAATTGCCAAAATGGGCACTTCATTAAGAAGACAGAATCTAACATCTAAAGCAAAACCATGTTTGATTTCAATAGTCTGATTGATGGTAACATTCTCATTTCCACACCATATTTTCACAGTTGAATCACTAGAAGCAGATGCAATTGTCAGTCGTCTAGTATTATTTGTATCACTCCAATAAACAGCATCGGCAACGGTAACTGTGTTTTGATGTCCTGTAAGTGCGTGAATGACTTCGAATTTATCAACTGACTTTCTCCACACTAAAACTTTCCTATCAACAGAAGACGACAAAAATTCTTTCGGTTCTGAACCCGACGTACCACATCTGATCCATCGCACGCTAGTAACAGGCTTAGAATGTTCATTTAATGTGCAAATCACTCTTTCACATACCTTATCATACAAAGAAATGGCGTTGCACGTACCAAATATGATCAGATCATCGTCACCCCAATCTAAGCAATGAGGAGCAGGATTACAACTACAACTCGTATAAATATTTTCAATTTTAACCATCTCGAAGTTCTAAACCATACACACACACACGTGTATAACAGTAACAGAACCACGCGGTGCGTAACGTTAAAATTAACAAATTCCAAAATACAAGTAACCGAAAAATAGCCAAATTAAAGCACTTAAATATTTACAAAATTATTTAATTTACAATATAAAATTTATTTTAACTAGAAAATAGTAATTTATGATAAAATTTTTATTAAAATTATTATTATAATATTAAAATAGTTTAATAATTCGTTTATATAATAAGACTTTATCATCGGTAGAAAGAAAAGACGTAATTTGGCATAAAATGAAGATTTAATTTTACGAGTGGTTTGTTTATATTTCTGGATAGAATATGGTTGCCGGTGCATTTCCAATCGCGAAATTAGCGACTCTTGCTATACGTCAGATCAGTAAACCACTTTCTAATAGAATAAAAAATAAAGCTAAGTCGAGTCTTTTCTTTAGAACTTATATTTGTATGCCTCCTGCACAATGTAAGTATATATTTGAAGTGAGAATGAAATGGATTAACTAAATGCATTTTAATTTTCTCAAGAATTAATACATGCTTTTTCAATAGCCAAAACTGTATCAGAAGAAATTTTCTGATTTTGATATTTAATAAATTATTAAAGATGCCAGCTATTCTCCCTATATATATGCTAAATACAAGGGTGATTCAAAAAGTAGGAATATCAATTTGCACATAATTACAAAACAAATGTACTTATTCAGATTTTTTATTTGCCATTTTACATATTAGCCATTTTCCAGCATAATCGCTGCTGTTGTTTAAGTGCTTGTCGTATTGTGTGACCGGTTCTTGAATGCCGTCGTCGTAGCACCACTTTAACCACTGCTTGACTTCGTCTTTCGACTTGTCGGCACTGGTACTTCACCGTTGCCTTCCATCCCAGAAACTCATTTAATTTCCCAAACGAATGATGAATGACCGGGAACCAAGTTCAGATTGGGGTGGGATGGTGCAGAACGTCCCATTTGAATTGTTGAAGCAGGTGCATGGTCTGTTGAGCTGTGTGAGGATGTGCATTACTATAAAATACTGTAATGTACTGTGCAATCAAAACTAAGTCCAAAAAAATAGCAGTGTTAAACAAAATTAGGCCTGGACTTGGGTCACAGTGGGTTTATTTTTCATGACTTAACAGAAAAAAAGAACAAATACAATGCATAGGTAAGCAAAAAGATCCAAGATAATATTTATTAAGTTGAAGTATAATCTATAAAACAACAAGTATGAACAAGAAGTTAGTAGTAATGAAATATTATTTCAAATATTTAAAACAATAAATCAATTATGTACAAGAAAGAAAAAACAGAATTATAAAAAAATTCTTTTATCCAACTCAGGACATAAACTAATTTAATCTCCACCTGTATTGACTAAATTCAAAAACAGAATAGACCTCTTATGAATTAAGCACTTAACCTTCACCATATAATGCTAGACAATTTGGTCCAAAAGTAGATTGCCTTTGACACTTGTAATCTCAAGTGTACTTTTAAGAGCTACCTCTCTCCATTGAACAGGTATGTCGTCTTTTATCTGGCTTACAAAATGTAATGCCACACTATCCTACTTAAATATTTCTGAGTGTTACGGGGTCAATCACATATGCAAGTGAATGCTCATTTTTAATTTTGAATTTAGTTTATTTTGGGGTTTTTGGGAGTTTGTCCTTAAACATAAAACGTTCCCAAAAAGAAAATAGTAATAACTAAACGTAATGCTGAAAACATAAAATAATGATCAGGCTTTGACTCCTTACAATGCCATTCCACTTGTTTTGAATGGCTCTGTGCATCCCATCATGTAATCATACACTGCTATAATGTGATGACGGATGAATGTTTTCAACATTCAGAATCCGAATAACAATGTTCACTTCGTATGCTATTTTGTTAATTTTTGCTGCCATTTTAACAAATCAACAACTGTACAATGCACTCAATCAACAGGTAAGTTACTTTGAGCAAAACATATGTGACTGAGGATAGTTAACTTTGCCTGCTTACATCTGTTGCTCTCAACACCATTTATGAGCAAACAGTATTATTACTTTCTGTGCTTTCTGGATGATCCTCACACATGGTGTTTTAAAAATATGGGGCAAAACTTCAGGAATGGATTCCTTGTATATAGTGCAGAAAAATAACTTATTTTAGCATGAGTCCTGAAATGCTTTGTTTCAGAGTTAAAAGGCTATCTGGTAAAATCTTAATGTACTCAATGTATTCATTGCTGCAATAAAATCCAAGTCTCTTGTAAATATACATGGTAAAATGTGTGCCTATGTCTAGATTGAATGACGTTAAAGTGCATTTAAAGCTACTTCATTTTGTTGGGGCATTAATTTTTTGATGTATTTGACTGCAGATGATGCCAAAACGCTCCTTTATGAGCAAATTATGCTGCTAGTCAGATAATAGATGTTATGCCAAGAGTGTGCTTAGGGTGCAATGAGACTAAAAGCTGACGCCTATATTCAAACAGGAAATGGCCATTTTGAACATTTCATCTGAGATAATACAGAGAGAGTATTTTATTAATTAACTGAAAAAAGGCATTTCTGGTCCTATGTTGTTATAACTTATTTTTTTTCTCTATACATGAAAAATTACCCTTGAAGTCTTCCTCCATATTTTTGAAACACCACAATCTTAAACAATGAATCATAATTTATACAAAATTGTTCAATCTATAGAAATATAAAAACAAAGACAAAATAGAAAAATCTCAATAACTTTGAGTTCATAAATAAGGAACATTCAATGAAGTAAATATGTTGTTATGCTTAAAAACGTACAAAACTTTCGTATTTGCAAGCCTTATTGGTTTATCATTAGGAGTTATAAATTCTTAAAACAAAAATGAACATTGTAAGCTTATAAATTTTCCAGATGCCCAAAATAAAAACTTAGTTCTTGCTTCAGATTAAATATAATTAGAGGAAGAACAAAACTTTTGGAATTTTGGGATATTTCTATATTCTATATTCATTCTATATATGAATGAATATAGATAGAATCAAGACCTGAAGATGATCTCCAATTGAATCAAAAATGTTAGAAAAACTGTTTCAAATTAACTATTACTGGAAAATAATTTAAGGCTTTAGAGTGAAGTATGCACAATATTTTATTGATAAAATGAAATGTAATACCTTTCTATTAAATGTAGCTTATAATATAAATAATTGATAAACAGTGACCATCAAAACACATGAATTAGTATTCTATATAAAACACAACTTTAAATTCTATATAATATACAATCAAACAGTTCTGTGCCAGGAAGAGGATGTGTTTTGAAATATCATTTTTTTTAGAAAACAATATACATTAAATATCTCATTAATAAATATACTTCCATATTTAAACAGTTACCACATAAATTTAAGATGTTAACAGTATTAGTCAGATTTTAGATATTCTTTGTGTGGTGCAGCACTTAGAAATGTTGTTGAAATGAAACTAAATAAAAATAATTGGCTACTTTGACCTCAAATCAACACATGCATCCGTAATTTACTGCAATAAAAATCTTAGCTGAGCTTATTATATCCTTTTTTTGAAGAATTAAATCCACAAATAATCAATTTGCAATATAAATCAAATATGAAATACAAACTAAATATATAGAATTTATGTATGTTTCTCCAATAGATTTTTATTTCACATATTATTTTTAAATCAAAACTTTCTTCAGATCATTAATTATAACAAGTTTCTTTATAATTTAAGAGATTGAATAAATTAAATGAAAGTAAAAACATATTTCATATGATGATAATTTATTACACTCCATGTTACACAAAAATTTTTAATTTGATTGGTTTGTATTGCTAAATTGAAAATTAGTCAACATAAGTTGCTTACACTGTATAATGTAGTTTGTAATTATAGAAGAAATCATTTAATTTTATCTTTAATATTTTCAATGAAATCTCTACTTTTTTAATTGCCAGTCATTAACTGTTAAAATAATAATCACATAGATAACCTTTGCTTTATTCCAGTAGTACATTACAAATGACAAACATTTTCGAACGGCTTGACTGCCCTGCTTCAGGCCAGTTATACATATATTCCATTTAGAATGCTCATTTTATCGTATTTGTCATTTGTAATGTACTACTGGAATAAAGCAAAGTTTTCTATGTGATTATTATTTATATTATACATTTTTCCAGTTTTGATTTTCTTTTCTTTTTTAATCATTACCTGTTATTTACTTTATTTAGTTTCTAAATGATCTATTTAGAAAACACACACAATGACAGCTTCTCATCAAAGCATATTTTTATTTTTGACATTAAAGAATAAAAATTAGTTAAAATATCTTTAATAAATTGATACAAATAATTGTATAATGCGTATTTTATCCCATCCTAAGCTCATTATGGCATTTTATTCATATAATAATTAGTATATTAATAAAATTTGTTAAAACTTTGCAGGTTTGAATTCTTCATTTTTGAATATTTATATTTGTCAGATTTTAATATGGTTATTGCAATTACAAAGTATATGCATTGAATATAACTAAATTAATTAAATCTATATTTATGAATTGCATCCATGTGGCTATGTGAGATATCTGTAGCAATTGAAATTATCTTTAAATTATCAGAAAAATGAAGAAATAACAATGATTCCTTTTGCTTATTTTGAATCTAATTAGTTTGGAAAAACTATGAAAATCACTGAAAGATTATTCTACTTTTACAAAAATTAGTGAAAAGAAGACAAACTGATATACCAAAAGAGTGTCACTTCCATCCATAGATCACTATTGGTTGCAAGATTATAGTTATTCCAATAATCAAATCAGATTTCAAGATTGAATTTATTACACATACAAAGTGTCTGCTTTTTCCCTATAGTTGTAATATACAGAGTCTTTCACATTTGCCCATTACAATTTCTCAATATATGCACTTATGTCACATGGCACACATCTAACCAATACTCAAATTCTTCCTATTCTTGTTACCGCATAGCCATTGTCACTCTTTCCACAGCACTGCAACTCTACAGCTCCTGCAGATTACTTATGTCACACAATGATGAGTGATTTCAATTTTGTGAACTGCAGAAAAAATGTTTTTATGCTGTGGGTTGCCATTTTATTTTATGGTGCTTCCTAGAGATAGTAGATAACAAGGCATTTAAATTTAGATGGAAAATGAAACTTGGACAGCTACTCTATTGATTGGTATACATTACATACTTCTTGAATAATATAGTAATTAATATAATTGCAATAATTTAAAATGATAGCATTCATAAGTTCCTGTAAAAGCAGAATAAGTTAAATATCAAAACATATTTAGAAACTAGAAGCTAGATATATTGTTATGAGATAATTGCATTAATTAAAGTGTAAAAAATACAATAGATCACTTGTTTTGTAACTTCACTTTACAAAATCTGCTTTCATGATTAATAGAAAATTTACATTTATTTAATTTATAATAATAATAATTGTATGAAATGTCATATTTAAGTAACCTATTTTTTGTTGATTGTTTTAGTGTTTTATATAATTCAAAATTTATTTCCAGGTAGAAAACCTCAATATATGACATCAGGTCTAAAGGAAATTAGATTTTGATTTATGATGGCACTTTAACAGCTGTTTTTGTGAACCAATTAGGTCATAAAATCACCTAGTGTATAAATGAATATATAAAATGAAAACCAGAATTGTAATTTTATTCATCTTTCTTCTACATTTGTTTAATCTACATTTTAATTTCTTTAATTTAAATACAACTTTCAATTTATTAAACCACACTACACTTGATTCAGTTTTATAAAGTGCTGGTTTCTGTATTTAAAAAGGATAATTGTTTGGCTTTCTTATTTGTTACTCCAAATTTTGGACTTTAGATTGAGCTATTAAGATTATTTCTTTGAATAATTCAACATAAAAAATGTAATAAAATTACAGTCTTTATTGAATAGAGAATATGCAGGGTGTTCCCTTCAAATATTCTTAGTTTTGTGGATTAATTTTGGGAAAAGAAAATTGAGTATAGCACTGTAGACAATGGTAATAGAAAATGCATCTGAAAAAGTTAGTTACTACATTAAATCAGCACATTTCCATATATGCTCCTGAGGCAAGTACATACATTTAAGATGCAGCATACATTGTAACATAGTCAGCACGTTAGGAGTCATGTTAATGACATCTGCACTTCTATGCAGGATTGTCATTTCTGGCACTTTTATAGCACACACTTGATCCTTGACATGTCCACAAAGAAAACAGTTTAAAGAAATGGTGTCAGGTGATCAAGTGGACCAAGTATTGGGGCCCCCAGTAAACTATACTGTGCAGTATATGGAGGTCCAGATTGCCATTGTGCAGCAATAACCTTGAAATGCACATGAAACTTGGAGTATTGACTAACATTTTCCAACACATTTAATTCATGTATCTGAACAAATGGCTTTTATAGAACAGTTTAAAATTAGGGAAGTTCAAGGGGAATTTGACTGTAAAGGGGAAATACTGTACTTGATAATTTCTTAAAACAAAGATTTGAGAAAATTTTATATATTCAATTAAAATATGACTATGATAAGACTGTTGATATTCATGTTGATTTAATTATTTATTACATTTAATATATTATTTTTATTAATAAGAAAATTTTAAAATTTAAATAATTAATTATGTGAAATGCTTTCAATATTTACAGTATATCATTGGTTGGAGGTGAATGTCAAAATGAGGATTTTGAATCTTGGAAAACCGGTGGACGTTCCTAAATTAAATGAATCTATGGCAATAGAACTTGGTGCCGAATTATTAGGTGAAACTATCATATTTGGAATTGCAGCTCTAACAATAGTAGCAGAATATATCAGGCAATCATTAAAAGAGAAAGATAAAGAATTTAAGCAAGAGACTAGACTGAGAAATATAGAAACTAATATGAAAAGATTACAAGAAGTAGTTCATGATCAAAATATTTTAATAGTGGAATTAAAGCAATTAAGCGAACAGCAGAAATTTTCATTAAGTAATTTAATGAATAAAATGAAAAAAGAAACAAAATCAAAAAGTGAAGCTTTATTAAAAAAAGAAAACTCAACAAAACTAAATCCTAAAAATGTTAATTTAATTGATTGTGTTACAGAAGATGTGAAGAAAAATTTCGGATTATGTCCCTTGGACAAAATAAAGGATGAAAATTATTCTTGTCTTATCTGCAAGAAATATGGATTTAAAACAAAAACTTTGCATCCTAAAAAAGAGGACAAAATAGAGAAAATTCTAAAAATGCCAACCAGTCGCCTACAGTTGGCTTTATTTGATGCTGTCAAAGCTATCAGAGGACCTAAAAAAGAAAGCAGAGCCATTTCTGCAATACCGGAAGCTAAGAAAACAGTTCAGAGTTCTTCCAGATCTATAATTCAGGATGCAATATTAGATGCTTCCAAATTAATAACTGGGGATGAAAAAAATGGTAGCAAGTTGAATAAAAAATTTTCATATCCTGTTCATTACGTAGAATTAGATTTAATTACAGAAAATAATCCTTTACAAAATGCCATTGAAGATGCTTTAGATGTCTTATTTGGTGAAGTGCACTTGCCAGTGTATAATATACCTAAAAAAATAGATAATTCTGTTAAAACCGAAAGTAAATATAAAATAGAAAATTATTATCAATCCAATATCTTCCATGATGCATTAGATGAAGCTGTTGAATATATAATTAGAGAAGAATGAACTGTATTATGAACTTGCAGTTGTGATTTTGATCAAATCACCATATTTATTACAGACATTTTTTTTTTTTTTTTTTTATAAATTCTTGACAATAGAATAAATTCCATACTTGTAATTATACATGTACATGTGATGATTATTTATGCTTATGTATTTTTAATGTTGCTGCACAAGTAGCATGAAATGAAAAATTAAAAGTTAATAATGAATAATTTGAAGTAATTTTTATTTAACAATTTCTAGTTTTTCACAAATAAACTTATTAGAAAAGAAAACATGCATTGTTGAATGCTTAAAACATTTTGGGACTGTTCATTTTAAAGTTTAATTTATTCAAAAAAATTTGAAAGGATTAAGCTTAAAAATGGATAAGTAGTTAAAAATATTTGATTCTATGATACAAAATGTTTTATAAATTTTAACATTCAAAATACAGTGTCTTCCAAAAAGAACATTCCATTTTAAATTATTGTAATTATGTTAATTATCATCTGAAAATAGTGTAATGTACAGTACATTGGAAAACTGATCAACTTTCATATTTGCCCATTAATTTCTTGATGCATGTACCTTGTGTCATATGGCACACATCCAACAAATACTGAAATTCTTCTATGCTTGCCTTAGTATATCCATGTCACTTTTCCCACATTTAGCCACAATTCTATGGCTCCTACAAATTAATTCATGTTGCATGGTGAGGAATGTTCATGACTTTTCAAACTGCAGAATACAAAATGCTTTCTCTGTTGAATTGCCATTTTCATTTACTGTGCTTTCTCGAGGGAATAGATGAATGCAGATGGAAAATGAAACTTTGATAGTTACTATATCAATGGGTTTATATTGCAAACTTCTTGGATAATAATTAACATAATTATAATAATTTAAAATGGTAGCATTCGTTTTGAAAGACTGTATATTGACTTACTAAATTTTTTTAGTTTAAACAGTTTGTCTCTAATTTAATTGTTTAGTAATTTGTAGAAATGAATTGTTTGGTTCGAGAATATAATAAATTACATAACTGCATGACAGTTTTATGTTCTTACTTCAAATTATTCTTTGTTTATAAATTTCTTAAATGTACAAATGCATACATGAACAAACTAGTCATTTACTTATAAATAAAATGTTATGTTTATTTAAGTTGATTTATTGATTTATATTAAAAAATATACAGGATGTATCAGGAGGAAACATAAATACTTGGGGAAATGAATCCTTACAACAAGAAAAGTCTGTAAGAACTGGTAAGGAAGAGTTTTTGAGAAAAATGCACAAATGTCAGTGAACTATTGTAATTATTTTCATAGATCCTGCTCTGCAGAACATGTTGAGTGTGATTCTCTATACAGAAGGTCCTATGATGAACTTTGTATTCAGATAAATGCTGCCATAGTTATCAAAGAGGGAGGGACACCCTCTGAAGAAGTATACAGTTTGCTATAGAATGATCAAAAACTGTATCAAAGCCAGGTGTGTCCACTTCAAGAACTTCTTCTGATGTCACCACTCTCTTGTCATGGATCATCATCAGGTGCAATGGAATGTAAATACATTCCATTGCACCTGTAATACATTCCATTGCACCTGTAATACATTCCATTGCACATGTAAATATGACCATTGCACCTTAGTTTCTAATGTCAGCTGTTTCATTGACACTTGACATTTCAAATTCTGAAACATTTGTACTGTTGTTCAGTGAAGCTTTGAAAATCTGGACTAATTAAGGCCAAACCTCATCTGGATTTTCAAATATGTAAATTAATATTCATTTTTTGATACCTAGGTTTTTGTCATTTCACTGTATTAGTAAATCGCCATAAGTTCACATAGACTTTTTTCATGTACTACTACCATACATTCACCTCCTGCAGTATTTACCTTTCCTCCTGATATACCCTCTCTACATATTTCTATATGAAACTTCACTAAGATTTTAAAATCTGAATCATAAAAATCCATTTTTAAATTTAACATATAAGATTATTTTCAAAGGAAAGTCAATATGTTTCTCTTCACTCGGATCTTTGCTTAGTGTGTGCAAAATTAATGATAATATGCACATTATTTTCATAAATTGAGAATGACAAAAACTAAAATATGAATTTAAAAAATAACAATCATAATAGAAAAATTACATTCAAATCTTGGTTTCTATGCATGTGTTGTTTTAAAACTATAAATACACCTTTAAACTCCAGCATATAAACAACTTTTGATAAATAAACATTTTTAATCTTGTTAAATGTTTGTGCTGGAGTTTAAAGGTGCATTTGTAGTATTAATTGTTTCCTCCATTTTCATGGTGTGTGTGTTTTTTTGCATCCTTCTGATTTTGAGAAATTTTGGGAATTAGACAAAAACATTTCAAATATTGCCCCTTAATTAACGCCCATTGACGAGATAACTCGTCAAGTTTACATAGCGTTACGAAAAACGCGGTCCTTAAGCTTTGACAAAATTTTTTTTTCAGTTTTTGGAATGTTTTTTAAGTCTCCAAATTTTTGCAAAAATTTTTGCCCGCGCGAAAAAATTTTATCGCGATTTTAATGAGCCTTTGATAAGGCTCGATTAAGGCTTAATTGTTTTTTAATGGGAGTTTTTTATCAAATTTATTTCATGGTTCCTAAGTTGTAGTGCACGGATTTTCCTTTGGTAAAGTTATTTAAAGCTAGTTTCTGATGTCAAAAAACGACCTCCGATAGTTTTTTAATTTTTTTAATTAATCGATTTTATTATATATAAATTTAATTAATTAGGGGGATCCAGAAATCGCAATAAAATTTATAATTTTTTAAAAATATAGGCGTCGCTAATATTCACCCTACTTTAAACCCTTGTCCTCCCGAGACGTCTATGAGAATGCCCCGGGAAATCCAACTCCAGCTGTTCTCAAGGTCATCCAGCTGTGTAAACAATGACTCATCGGTGTTAAATTTCACAGAAAGGCAAGACAAAGGAAAATAAAATTTGGAGCTTTTTCTTCAAAATTAACGCATTTCTTTCGTTTTTTTTCAGTTTTAAGTATTTTTTATGCTTAATTACATCATAATTAATAACAGGTGGTCTTTAAGGAGTTAACATTCCATTCAAGAAATTATCTAATTTAATTTATTTTTCTTTAATGCGGTATTTCTTGCTGCTTTTATTCGTCAAATGAATGTTATGCAATTCGCACATTTCCTTCTTGTGTTGTTTGTTTTAAAACCAAGCGAAATTTTCAAAATTTTCCATTAAAATTGCGCGAAATTTGTAAATGGTGTATTCATTCGAACAAACAACAATGCACGGTAATTTTGTTCAAGCGTTGACAATTATGAAAAATGCACGTGACATCACGCTTTTTATATAGAGGAAAAGGTGATATTATGGAACCATCCCATTTCGAACTGATAATAAAGGTGAACTGTAGCAGATTGTGATTGAACTGAACTAGGCACACATCCCCATAGCAAGGGGAAAACCCGTTTTACTTCAGTTAAACACCAGTGTTTCTCAACGGGGGCGATATCGCCCCCATGTGGGCGTTTTTCCATGTTGAAGGAGCGATTAGTAACAATTTATATTTTGGGGGGCGAAAAACAATTTTCTGGGCGATATAGTAAAACATTATATTAAGAATAATTAGATATTTTATTCGTTATATCGTATAATAATTAAACAAATAACATTATACTAGTCACTAGTCTATTCAATGCAGTACGAATTTGGCGTTAGCCGTGGCCCTGGGCATCGGAATTTTGAAGTGAAGGGGGCGATAATACGTTGAAGGGGAGACGATTTATTAGAGATTGAGAAACACTGAGTTAAACGGTTTATCCGTAATGAATCAGCAAATTTGTTTTTTTCAAAATTCGCAAGTTTTGAATGCTAAGTGAATTTAATTATTTTTAAAATATAAATCGTGTAGTTGTAGATTCACTGGTGCATGTATTCCGTTCCAGAGACTTATGGTACATATTAATCTGTGTGATGTTCACGTTTTTTTAAATTTTGGTCTTGACAGACATAAGTTAATTCAAGATGGCGTTGTGTGAAATACGGACCGCATTGGTGCTTTTAAGTAATATGGAAATATTGTGGGGATTTAAGCAGCGTATTTAAATTCTGCAAACGTCTAGTCGCCAAAATATCCAATTTTTCGGCGTTTTTTTTAACGCAGATAAATTATGTTAAATTTTTGAATTAACTTTGTGTTAATAATAATTAACACAAATAAGATAAAATTAAATAAAATATATGAGAATTCCACGCCCAGACGACAGAAGCGATCAAAGGCGTCATTCTACCGCTCTAGATCCGGGAGGCCGAAAATCCCAGAAAATTTTCGGTGGAGTCTGTCCCGATATTTCGGCGTCGTTCCTACTGTGAGCCTGGTCAACTCACAATAAGTATAGAAAAATGGCCCTTTTAATTTAATGTCTGTCGGACGGAGTTAAACGAAAATCCTCGTAATAATAATAAATAAATAATATGTATACGTATAAAGAATGCATCTTATATAATTATATCAATTATAAATAAAAATATTATTTTACTAATTTATATTAGTTAAATTAAAATAATAATGCTATCAATATTTAATATAAAAAAATAATAATATACATTAATATATAAAGTTCATTGGCGTTGTAATCGAATAACTATCACATTGCTTGAGGCTCCTCCTCCCGACAATTTTTAGAACTATTTCGTCAAAATAGAAATGAACTTGAAAAGATGTCTAGTAAAATAGCGAAAGGAAACGATATTCTTATAATATTACGTGGCTTAGACATCGTTGCTAAAGCATTTTCACTTCACCAAAGGAATATATTATATCAAAAATGGCGAAATTCCAGTTTGAATCCCGTTATAAAGGAGACGATACCGAGAAAGGTGGAGGATGCGCTCAGTGGCGTTATATCGGGGGACTTAGGAGAAAAGGGTAGAAAAGTAGCTTCAGAAATTGTTGGAAGGACTGCAGTTGTTGTGGAAGGAGCAAAGGAGTATTCGAAATTCGTTTTTCAACCATCAGAGAAGGAGTTTGACGTCAGCCATGAGTTGCTAGAATCAAAAGATAGAGATGTAATAGAGGATAATGAAAACTCACAAAAGAAGTTAAATGCTGCCTCGATGGATGTGAAGATCAAAAATGGAAATTCAACAGTGCCAAATATGGAGAAAAATATAAAATATCCTCCCAAAATTAAACACGCAAAGAATATGGAAAGTCTTCACCTCAAACTTAAAACGCCAAAGAACCAAATGAGCAAACTGTCTAAAGAAAGCAAAGTACCAGCAACGAGAATTGGTAGATTGTTGTCTTATGGCGGTTTGGCAGCTGGTCTGGGCGTCGGCGCTCTTGCCGAAGTGACGAGGCGATCTTTAGGTATTGCACAGAGTAAACAGTCGGATGGCGATTCTCTATTCGAGAAAAATCCTTTTCTGACTGAGGCGAATGCGAACAGGATCGTAGATACCCTGTGCCGAGTAAGAGGTGCCGCATTAAAAATCGGACAGATGCTAAGCATTCAGGATAATTATATGATTAATCCTCAATTGCAAGTTGTGTTTGAAAGAGTGAGACAGTCTGCAGATTTCATGCCGTTTTGGCAAGTTGAAAGGGTGTTGAGTCAAGAATTTGGTGTGGATTGGAGACAGAAGTTTAAAACTTTTGAAACAAAACCTTTTGCCGCCGCTTCAATCGGACAGGTTCATCTTGCCACCTTACATGATGGGACTGAAGTTGCAATGAAAATTCAATATCCAGGCGTGGCCAAAAGTATCGAGAGTGATATAAAAAACTTACTAGGCATACTGAATGTGTGGAATATTCTTCCGAGAGGTTTGTTTATCGAAAATTTAAGCACAGTAGCTCGTCGTGAATTGGCTTGGGAAGTGGATTATGTGAGAGAAGCTGAATGTGCTAGACACTTTAAAAAATTAATTACTCCATATCCGGAGTTCCATGTTCCGGACATAGTCGACGAATTTTGCACTAAACAAATACTTACCTCTCATTACATCAAAGGTATCCCGGTGGATCAGTTAATAGACGTCGAACAACAGTTAAGGAATGAAATATGTCAGCGACTGGTATTCTTAAGCTTAATAGAGTTGTTTTGGTTTAGATTCATGCAAACGGATCCAAATTGGTCTAACTTCTTTTACCTACCAGAAACAAATCAGATAGGGTTGTTAGATTTCGGTGCCTGCCGCAACTACGATAAAGAATTTGTAGATAAATATATGCTAGTTATTAAAGCAGCAGCTGATCAAAATAAATCGAGCGTGATAAAATATTCGAGAGATATCGGTTTCTTATCAGGATACGAATCAAAAGAGATGGAGAATGCCCATTTGGATGCCGTTATGACTCTTGGAGAAGCATTTGCATACGACGGAGATTTTAATTTCGGGTGTCAAAGTACTACCAAACACATACATGGATTAGTGCCTATTATGATAAAACAGCGATTAGTTCCTCCGCCGGAAGAAACATATTCTCTGCATCGTAAACTGTCCGGTGTTTTCTTGCTTTGTACCAAACTGAAAGCAAATATTAATTGTAAAAAATTATTTGATGAAGTTTATAGTAGTTACAGGTTTGAGAAATAATGATTGATCTCAATTGAAAATGTATATTTTTGATTTATTTTAGTCAGATTGTTATTTTTAATAAGAGTTGTTACAAAATATCATTGTATAGACAAATAAAGTTTTTGCCTGAATCTTTGAATTAATTTACCAATTAAATATTAAAATCTACAATTATAATAAAAGTTTTCAGCATTATTCTAGCTTCGAAGAAAACATTTTTGCTTCAAATTTGTGTGTTTTAGTTAATTTTTAAATGGTTTTGTGTCTAATCAAGTATATATATATATATATATATATAATGTTATTTAATGGAAGTTGAATACTAGCCACACATGGGGGACTGACGAGGTTAAATTGGGATAGGGCAATAAAAACAATGGTCTTACTAACTAGAATGTCTATTTACTGACCTCAGTATTTACAATAATAAAACTGTAAAACAGAAAACTTGCTTGGGCTAACATTAATGAGGTGGGATCCCAACATGTCCCATAGACTTAACATTGTACTTTCCTTTACCATGGCTGAACCATTGCACCTTGCTCAAATCTCTCTCCATTAGCATCATCTACAGGGTACAGCTTTCATCTGATATTCAAACTGTATTTTTAGCACCAGTTGTTTATTCAAACTGTCCAGCCAAAACCGTCCTTAATACATATGTGTACAGACATATAAAAATAGACAAAATATTTGGCAATAAAACATCTTTATTCATCAATTCAAATTTTCTTAGCATAGTCAAAAATTAGAAAAAGCTATTTTTGTGAATCAATTATAGCAATAATAAGAATTATAACAGCAACAAAATCTTAACATTGCAATAACAATATATTAATCTTAAGCTTTTTCTTGTAAATTTGCATAGAATGAGCTCTTAACAAAAGGAGATACATGTAATTTATCAAATTTGTTTCTACATAAATAAACAAAATGAAGACATTAAAAAATGGAATTAGCAAATTTCATAACAATGATCTCCACTTTCTGTTAAATTCAAGTTTAAAAGGAAGTTGTACAGTACATACGATGAGTAGAAAAATCATACATTTTTGTCTGAGACTTAATTTTTGGAGTGACAAAAGTGGAGATCACATTACTACTTTGACTAATAGAAATCATGTCTATGATATGTTTAAAAAAATAGTAATATTAACAGAAAAATAAATTGGGTATAATGACAAGATTTCTTTTTTAGTTTACATAAAAACTCAATGAGAGATAGCATGTTTACAAATATCGTTTAATATAACAATCGTACAAAAAAGGAATTTTGATCAATTAATGCACATTATGGTAATTATTAGCATTGAGAATTATTTTATTTTTGGTACATGAAATTATTTATCATCTCTTTAAAGTTTTCTTTTTCATCATTTTCCTCTTCATCTCTTCCTTTTCCCTTTGAATATCTTCTAGATCTTCCATCATACCTATACGTGCACTGAAAAGGTTTAAAATATACAAAATTAGTTAAGTATTCTAACCATAAATAAGATATATTAAATAAGAATAAAATCTCATCAATATAAATTATAATTACTATTATTGATGATATTTATGATTAATTACTTAATTTAAAATTGTCACTGATTGAGCAAGTTTTATTAGAATTGTTCCTTGCTGACTAGGTCAGAGATTTGAATTCTACAAGGTCTTCTAAAATGAATGCTACTATTTTAAATTACTACAATTATGTTAATTATTATCCAAGAAGTATGTGGCATACATCAATCGATAGAGTAACTGTCCAAGTTTCTTCCCCTGTTTGCATTCAAATTTGTTGTCTAATACCTGTAGGAAGTGCTATAAATAAAAATGGCAACTTTGCAACAGCATTCTGCAGTTTGCAAAGCTATAATCACACTTCATTGTGAAACATGAATAATCAGCAGGAAGTGCAGAATCATGGTTGCCCTGGAAGGAGTGACAATGGATATGTTGTAATGAGTGTTGAAAGAATTTGAGTATCGATTGGATGTGTGCCATGTGACAGAAAGTGCATGCATTGATAAATTGTAATGGGCAAATGTGAAACTTGAACAGTTTTCCAATGTTTTAAATATTATCTGAGAACATTCTAATGTACATTAACATAATTACAATAATTTAAAATGTATTTCAGGTACAGGCCATCTCTATTTATTGACTTTTACAACAGAAATTATTGTTTAGAGTACAGATCTGGTTACAATAATACATAATGTAGTAGTAAATTAAGTAAACTACTAAGTTTCCTTTATAGACTGGTTAGAATATTAAAAAAAATACTCTATTTGCTGAAGAAATATTCCTAATTTCTATACTTTGTATCTGTAGATGAACTTTTGTTCTTTTAAATGCTACAATTTGAATCTAGAGTTAAGTTTCAAATCTGTTTTTCGGTATAAAATTACACAATATAGGTCTAGTTATATCTATGATAAGCATTTAACTTAAATCTAAATATTTAAAATTACTTGTCCTGACTGACTGACTGATTCATCATTGCCCAGAACAAACTGCTGAACCTAGAGGTGAAATTTTGTACACAGGGTACATCATGAAAATGCACACTAAGAAGGGATTTTTGGAAATTCCCCACGGGGGAGAGGGAGAGGATTAAGGCTTAATCTGAAGAATGGCTTCTACTGTAATATTTTAGATGCAATTTTTTGTTTTCAACTACATTTAGTCTTCATTGAGTACTTAGGTGTATTAAATTGATAACAATACAGACATTGTTATAAATATTTTTATATATTTTGATTTTTTAACCAAATGTTCGAACCATTTTAAATTCGAATTTGTTATTGCATATTGGTTCGATTATAGAGCGATTGTAAACGTTCCAGAAAATTGACCAAATTGAAAACAGTTTGTTTTATTTGCAATAATTCTCATCATTCTCAGCGGTAGGTGTTATATAACAATTACTATGGTTATTGAAATACTGAATATAAATGGAGTTCACTTGCAAAATCCCCATGGACAAAGTTGCAGGTAACAGCTAGTATTCATATAAATTACTATTACAGTGAAATGCCAGAATAATGAGGGGACCACCAAAATATTTTCATTATACTGAAATTTCATTATATTGAAACACAGTCAAAATGCAAGGATAAAAGAAAGTCTACACTTTGAAGAAAGTATTTAAAAATGCAACTTGTCTATTACTATTTATATGGAACCAAATTTCACATTTTCAAAATGTAAGTTATATTAAATTAGAATAAAAATTAATCTGTAATAAAAAATCATGAGCAAACAACTAAAATAAGAATATAGTAGTGCCAATTAATTTGAATTTGCCTCTCTAATTGTTATTTTTGCTTGAAGCTGTTATTTTCTGCTAAAAGAAGTCTGATTAAAGAAACAACACACAAAAATTAAAGTTTTCTGGAAAAATCCATTACTGTGACACAGCATTTCAGTAGGCCATCAAGCACATCATTTTTGTTTAGTTCCTTTTTGCATGCTATCTAAATTGAAATATTTTTGCATTGAGCTGAATAGGAAATTGGCAGGGATTCAAGATATAATGGCTATACCAAAAATTTTGTTAAACTGGAATTCATTATACCAACATTTCACTGAAAAGTGTTGCAACTAGGGTTTCTGGCTGCTTTTTAACCTGGGAAATCCTGCAAATTTCTTAAAAGTTCACTTTTTTCTTATTTTGTGTTATGGTTGAGGAAATTTTGCATATAGAAAGTATAATTAACTCATAAACTGTCAGAATACATTTGTATTTATTAATTTTAAGCCTGCTTATTAGTTTTTTAAATCTTTGTTTATTATGGCATGTCATAGATTGTCAATAATCAATATGTAGCCTATTTGTGACAGGACTGAAAATTCTTTATTTGTCAGAACCTGTAATATCTGGAATAATTGTTCTTATGCTGTCTTAATTTTCAACTGTGCCCAGTAGCTTCAATAAATGCGTTGTGCCAGGTTGTGCAAATTGGGCAAGGATACAAAAGAGTACGAAGTATGCAAGTGTCAAGTTTTTCTTCATAAATCTGATTATTAAAAGCCAAACGAACTGCCAAATTATTAGGCTGTAAGCTCGATGCCACTATTAAAACAACCGAGGTAGACAAATCAAGAATACTAGACGACAAAAGAAATACTGTAATGCATATCAAAAACAAGCTAAAAATCTTCCAGGCTATGGGTTAAAAAACACATAACATCTATCTTCTCTTAAATGCATTAAAGACAATTTCACCCACATCAATTGAATCAAACAGGGCATTCTCAATAGAAGGACTTTTCTTTAGTAAAATAAGAATCAAATTGAGTGATCGGAGTATTGACCAGCTTTGATTTTTAAAATCTTATTATAAAAATTTACAATAATATCTTGTATTATGTTTTATTTAAATAATGAAAATACCTTCTAAGTTAGAAGTTTAATCTAAGTTTATTTTTTATTTAAATTTTCGATTCAATTCAAAGGCATTTTTGTTGTAAGCAGTTTCCAACAAACTTTAATAAATTTTTCTATTTGTGAAAATTTCTACGTAATTCAAAAGTAATTTTTTATACCTATTTTACACAGCATTATTATTATTATTATTTTGGAGGTTGCAGGATGTATTAAGTTACTTAAAATTGAAAAATAATTATATCATTCAATTTTAAGATTTATTTTATATCTTAAAAATAATTAATTATATCCTGGGATCCTGGGAAACAGTTAATTTTTTTCCTGGGATCTTGGGACAAGCAAAAGACCGGGAAATGAGAAACCCTAGTTGCAACAGAATATTCAATTAAATAATGCAGAAAAACTTGTGTTAGAATCGGAAACTTAACAGATAGAAAAAAATGAAAAAAAAGGACAAAAATATTTTTAACATGTTAATTAACTGCCATGAGGTACTGCTAGTGAGGCATGACTCACTAAAAATTTCCTCCATTGCTTCAAAGTACAAGGTTTGTGCCTCAACAACCAATTACAAAATATGTTTCATGGATTACCAGTACAGTAGAGCCTTGAAAACTCGGCACTCGATAACCCGGCCACACCCTGGCAGGGCAAAAAAATCCTTAGTTAATTAATTTTCATTATAGACAGCTTTATGCCTCATGAAGTATTTTTCTGGGGTCTGTCTTATCAGGTAAATTACTGT